GGTGCAGACTGGCACGTTATTCGCAGCGGCGAAGTATACGCCTCGGCAATTTAGCATGGCCGCCCTCGCGCCGCTATTGGCGCCACCGCCCAATAAATAGCTACTACTCGTCCTAGGTCCCTAGCCGTGTAGCATAGGGAGTGTTAGCGTTAAAAAGGCCAACACCGCTGAGCGTTGCATCAATGCGAAATAAACGGGCGAAGAAGGGGCCAATTCCTTGTGATCTGAGCCTTTTCTCCTGGTTTTTTCATCATCCCGTCACCGCTGACCATCTCTACTAGCCCAATTCTAATGGGCAGTCTTCCAGGACCGTATGCTATCCTCCTCAAAGGGGCTAGGGGGTTGAATATTCCTTTTAATTTCCTCTGTCTTCCCAAGTGGGATTGCCCTGGTGAAGGGCCTACATTCAAAGGCAAACCCCGGGATTGCCCGACTAGTAGGAGGATACCACGAGGGAAATTGTAAGGTCCGTACCTACCTAGATCACTCCAGCTTCGTCGCAAAAATTGCGCGGTTAGGGCGCTAATCCTTACGGGCCTGCAACCATCGACCTCCAACGCTTCCCACCCACCGCGAGAGGTGGTGAGATCAGCGTGCATTGATGTAGAGATCAGCGTGCTCTCTCAAACGACGTGCTCTCGCGTATTTTGTCTTCTTTGACCTAAAGGGGACCTCATGTAAAGTATGTATGTAGAGAATTTAACCATAATGTATTTTAAACTCACCTTTTAATACCGTAACTCTATTCGCTTTTTGTACTGTCTATTGCATATCTGCCTATTGCTACTTGTTGTCCTCAATTCAAATTTCGTAACTACCAAGATTGATTTCCCGCGCACGGAGCTGCCGGCCAGAGATCTCTCTATATCTGTGCCTATATGGATATGCTACTCTCTTGTATTCTGTCTATGTCTGTAAGCTCCACTTTCCCAGGGCCACAGATATAAATACCGATCAGATCTCTTATATGAGCTTTTTGCAACCTGTCTAGTTTCGTCACCGTCTCCTGCGGACCGATAATTTGTACTGCTACTTGCCGAAGAATAAATAGTAAGTTACTATTCTCTACCGAGCTGAAAAGGAAGGGACCTTGTTCCCTAGACATCTAAAAAGGGGATCCGAGACGGAGACCCAAAACGGGGCGAGACGCACCGTAAAACCTTTACATGGGGGCCGAAGCTAACACTTAACGCAGCAGAATCTGCAACAGGTATTATATACGGTTTCTCAGTGTACCCTAAGCGTTGCAAATCTGCGAGACGTGCCCAAACAGATAGCATCCTTGTTCAGGGAAGGCAAAATTGTCTCACCTGAAGACGCTGAAAACGAGCTCACAAAGCTCCTTACATCAGAGGGCGACGCAATACTCCTGGCGCTAGATCCCTTGAGCGAAACAGCTGCGAGGGTCAAGGAAATTGGCGTCCGAAACACAGTGAGGAGCTATCCCCTATTTTTGATCAGGCAGAACATGACGATCATTGCATGCGCACGCTTTCGAAATTGTTACGCGTCCAGTCCACAGAGGTGATTGAGACAGTGAAAACTCTAGTCAAGAGACACACCAAGTGGTGGCTAGAACACAAATACCATGTTTTGGTAAAAAGATACTGCCAGCTAGAACACCACTAACCTTCAACAATTTCGACAATAGAGAGACGTGCATATTGCAGGGCACTTCGACTACGGCGCAAAGTGAAGCGCAGTCGACTCCAATGGAGACAGAACATGGCGAAAATGAACACGACAGATTTCGCGAGGCTTTCCGCCTACTCAATGCTAAAGACCATACGACAGAAGCTGGACTACCGCCAATCGAATTCGATGCAGTGAATGCGGCCAAAGGTAGGCTTTTGTCACAGCAAGACGATTCGCCTGAGTTCGCTCGCCTCAAACGTACTCTTACTGAGCGTTCCCTACATGCGCCCCTACAACATTCATAAAACCGTTCTGAAAAAGCGCACCTTGCCCTGAAAGACCATCCCTTGTAAGGTATGCCGGAAAAGCCGCTGTATGGGACGGCTGGCCGTCCAGGGAGCAGGAGATTTGAAAGCACGTGTTTTTTTGTCGCAGACAGGCCCGGATTCTAGACTTGGTTCGCACGTTTCAGTCGTATCTTTCATTTTTCAAATGACATTCATAGATGAACTTTTGCCGTACGAAATCAAACATCAATTCATTTGTCAATTTGAAGCTGCAGCAGGACGTTTTTCAGAAAAATTCTGAACAAAAAAAAGGAAAGAGGCAGCGATCGTGGTCGCAACCAATCCCCTTGTTTCAAGCTGCGCCACGCTTTTGGCATTAGTTAGGACTGTAGAACAATTACAAGTGCATGTTCACCCTACACAGTGGTTTAAGCCCGTTGATTGCCCAGGTTTACCATTTTTATCCTCTCCGATGAATCCTGAATAGATAAACCGACTCCATACCCTGCTGCTCTTTGTTGAATGCTGCTTTGAAAGGAATTTATAGGGTGGCAAGCTGCCATGGCACTTCCGGAGGTCAAGAACATTAGTGACCCAGACGGGAAAGGTTTTACCGAGTTTGTGATGTCCTTTTCAATGAAGTACGGTAGAATAGGTCTTCCGGACGATATCCTCATTCATTTAATGAGCGAAAAATTGGAAGGGCACCCAAAAGCGGTCATGAAAACGCTCCCGGAAGAGACTAGGAAAGGCAAATTTGCGGACTTTGTTGTCGCACTAAATACGAAGTTCGCTGAAAACACTTCGGCTAGGCGAATGGAATCGCATGTGAAACTGAAACAGTTGAAGATGGCCAGATCAGTCACGGAGTACTGTGTACAACTCGAAAGCCTACGCGCGCAGCGAATCCCCAGGCTTCCGAAACCGATCTGTCCATGGTGAGAGCTAGTGAATTGATCTCGCAGCTCACTAATTGGCCAGAGTACTTCCAACTATTCGCCGTGATGGAGGCTGCAGCACCGCACGAGGTGTACGAAAAGCTCAAGAATCTGGCACAGGGCATCGAAAGAAGCAAAAGAGTAGCTGCGGCGATGAAATCAGCTACCGAATCAAAACAGTTCGAGGAACGAAGGAGGCCGTCGCGAGCCACGGTGTTTTCGAGAATCAAGGACAAAACTATCCAAGATGGAAATGTCCAAGATCGACATCACCACAAGGAGCAAGGTCAACAAAGTTTAGAAATAACGCAGAAAGGTGCACAGTCGCCAGCGGACACTAGACTTTGCAGAAGATGTAAGAGACCTGGACATTTTCAGAGGGACTGCGACAAGAACCTCCAACGCACGACACCGCAAACTGCGGAAAGTGCGCAGTCGTCAAATGCTTCTCGTATGGAACATCGAAACGTACCTTCACGACAGTACTACAGAACTGGTCTTGTCAGGCTATAGGAACACGACAACGAGAAGACGAGATGTTCGGCAAGAAAACCATGTGCAGAGTAGAACTACTGGGTTTTACTAAAGAGGCACTCGTCGACACAGGATCTCAAGTAAGTATTTTACCACTAAGAATACTACTTGATGCATCAAAGGCAGGTTTTGACCTGGATAAGGACGTCGAAGGGGGTAAAATAGGCGACCATATGAAAATATGTGATGCTTCGGGTCACAAAATGAAATATAAAGGCGCGGTGAAACTTAGTCTAGCGCTACATCAAGAACCTGTACGACGCGTGGTATTCTGTGTGAAAGGAGGCAGTGATGACACTATTGTGCTGGGCACTAACATCCTGCGCTCTCTTGGATTCCAAGCTCTGCTTGAGCCGCTTACAGGGACGAAGCATCAATCAGTAGGCATCCAACCGCTGTCGTGCCATAACAAAGTACGAACTGTGGCCACACAAACTGATCCTCGCAAGAAAACCAGACACAGGACGGCAGTCATACGCAAAAGTGAGGATACCGTGCCAGAAGAGAACACAACGCGCAGTGCTGTTCGTAGTCTCGAGGGTTTATCTCAAACCGGGAGAAACAAAAACGGTGTCAATAAAAAAGGACTCTTCCGATTCGGCTCAAATACTATGGTCAGAATGTGATCTGATACCTCATGCCGTTTGCGGGTGGGGCGAAACCGTCAACTTACCAATAACCAATACAACAGAAGAAGCCAGAGTCTTCCAAGCGGGAGAAAAAGTTGGCTTCTGGGACCAAAGAGCGATCGTGGAAAAGGCACCACGAGCGCGAATATGCTCGAACGCACTGGACCACCAATTGCCGATCGCTAATATTCTCGTCGGACTACTCCAGCGAATCGCCGAGATAACGTCCAATTTGCTCGTCTTGCCGAAGTTCGAACTGGCACCAAGGAAACCCGCACAAGAGCAGCCAAAAACTAGCGATGTTCCAGCCGCAGGAAAAGACACCAAGAAACGCAAAGGATTCAACGCTTACTACATCAAGGACGTCAAGCAGAAACGAAAGGAGGTGGCGCACGCGATGAAGCAAATGGGTCGCAAGCATAAGCCGCCGGAATCGGCTTCCCGTAGAAGGGGCGTGTAAAAGAATTCAACCATAATGTATTGCAAACTCACCTTTTGTTACCGTAACGCTATTCGCTTTTTGTACTGTCTATTGCATATCTGCCTATTGCTACTTGTTGTCCTCAATTCAAATTTCGTAACTACCAAGATTGATTTCCCGCGCACGGAGCTGCCGGCCAGAGATCTCTCTATATCTGTGCCTATATGGATATGCTACTCTCTTGTATTCTGTCTATGTCTGTAAGCTCCACTTTCCCAGGGCCACAGATATAAATACCGATCAGATCTCTTATATGAGCTTTTTGCAACCTGTCTAGTTTCGTCACCGTCTCCTGCGGACCGATAATTTGTACTGCTACTTGCCGAAGAATAAATAGTAAGTTACTATTCTCTACCGAGCTGAAAAGGAAGGGACCTTGTTCCCTAGACATCTGAAAAGGGGATCCAAGACGGAGACCCAAAACGGGCAGACGCACCGTAAAACCTTTACACTCAATTTTAGCATTCCCAAAGATTACTCTTGCTTTCCCTTTCCACTTTCAGAGTCGTTCCGCAGCTAAGCTATCACTACAGAGCGCTGATAGCACCAGTTCAATCCGGAGTTTGCCTTTAATGGATGTATGTAGGTTAAAGTAAACATTGAAAATGAAGAAACTATATCGTTTAAAACAAATAAATTTAGATGGAACTTTGGATCGCGTAGCTTCGAAGGAAAGGATAGCATGGGGCCTCTAATCGTGAATTCCGCCCTTAAAGGCAAGATTCGGGATAAAATAGGTGTGGAAAAGCGTTCAGTTATGAAGCTATAGGTGGGAGGTGGTCTGTAAAAGAGAAGGAAAGCAAACGAAACCACCGATTACGCCCCGTACAGAGACCTCCCCTATTTCAGCCACATTCCACCTTGGGATAGAGAAGAGGCGCGTTGGACGAGTTTCACGAACCTAACTCTAGTTGCTCCAGTGCCAATGACATTGGATCGCGATGGGACCGCTGCCTCAAATGCGCCCGCGCTTTTCAAGCAGCGCCACGTGGCAACCGACAGCGGAGGGTGGGGCTTGCGGACGAAGGTGTGAGTTGCGGGTCGGACGAGCTCCTTGCGCCTTTGTCGCGCACTTTCAAGCCGCAAAAGGGGCGCGACATCAACACTTGTCCACCTGCCTACTACCCCTGGATGGAACAGGCGAGCGCGCCTGATCGCGGAGCGTGCCTTCAAGAAGCGCAAGACGACAGATACCTACATATGATTGTACGGGTAGTCACTAGTGTACAACCACGCGTTCTGGTGGCATCATGTCGATTCAATGGATATACTACATTTATCTCTTTTAATATTTTTTCGAAACAGTGTTTTTCGACGAGTCTCCTGCAACACCGTGGACCTCCACGACGCTCTCAAGCCACATAACTAGAAGTTCGGCCCGCCATTGACCATAAGCTATATTCTCCATCCGGCATAAGACGAGTTCTTCACGAATAACATGCTCAGAACCAGGATCGCTCTATGCTAATGAGCAAAGGCAAGATTTGTGAACAAGTACTAGCCGAAAAGAGTCATCGTTGCGGGGCAAGAGCAAACGATCGTTTCCTAGTATTAGGTTGTCCCATAATTAGTGAATCACTTTGGGTATTTTTGAATTCAAATTTTTTTTTTTTATGTGGAGTCTTTGCTCATCCAAACATACACCTCTGTCATCTACAATGTATTGCCTATACAAGGAAATTTAGTCGCTGTCTTATCTCTAGAATTCCAGGAGCTATTGATCGAAGAAAGATCGGAAGTCGAGTTTGAGGTCATGTCACTTAGCGTAAAATTTCTTCCTGGGGAAGAGCGCTAGAGGTCAGACTGAGTTGTCTTTTGTTGGCACGAGGATAGGGCCACACAGAGGAAGTGAAGAACTGCTAGCCTGAGAGTCTCCAATTTTTTATGAATATTCTCCGCAAGGTGGGGTCGAACGACCTCAGGAAAAAAGCAGACTTTGTCTTGCTTTACTTTCAAATTGAACGCGTCGCCATTACGCTGTAGATGTTGATCTTCTTCAGTGACCCTAGTATTACTGGGCGGCGGTTCCCAGCGCAAGGTCACTCTCGTGCTCCACCAATATCTCGGAAGGGTCGGACTAGAAGGAGGTTCGGCTTTTGCTGTCAGAACTCCCGAATCGTTCATGCTAGGCTACTGCTCCTTGGAGATTTGCTAGTACACTCCACCCAGTCCAGAACCCTGGTGAATATGCTGGATGATCACTGTAAGGAACTAAGGGAGATCAGAAGGAACATGATGATGTCAGATCGTGTGTGGAGCTGTTTCGGGCTCAGAGCATACAAGATACAAACTAAATATTTTAAAATCTTTACAACTCTACGTAGATGTCTACATTCCATCATTTTAACAAGTCGGACATGCTCTAGCAAATGGCGACTAGTTTGTCCAGATCCACCTCAGTGGCGCTGGGTACAGCAGTGAGATTGCCAGTTGAGGGGTAGTTGGAGTGTGGGTCATCTTCAACTAAAAAGCCAACCTCTCGATAGAGTGAACTACAAGCAGACCGTGGATTGAGGGAGCGTGCCCTCGCCTATCTGCTGGTTGATTCTCTATGTTGTTGGGCGTTTGAAAGATCCTAATCAGAAGTGATTAAGAAGGGAGCTCAAAAATAGGTTCCAGAAAAATTGAAATATCAGCCACGGAAGGCAGCATGTAAATGGGCTGAGTAATTGCTCAGGTAGGATAATGTGGATGCTACTTCGCAAAACATGTTTCACGCCTTCACCATTTTTCTTGGATTTTTAATAACAATAAATGTAAAGTGATTCACTAATTATGGGACAACCTAATACAATCCAGTAATTCGGTAGATCGGCTCTCCTTCTATCGAATTACCCTCGTTGGGATGAACCAATTTTTTGCGCAATGTTCCTAAAAAAATCGTACCAGGGTCAACCGTGCAGTTCTGAAAGAGAAGGCGGAGGGGGTCGTATTGCAGTATTTGAGCCTTTTTGGGGTGTGCGGGAGGTCGTATTTTGGGTTGGTGAATGTGAAGAGGTGGAAAAAAGAGGTTGTATTTGTGGAGCTGGAAGAGTCGTGGCAATGGCAGAGGGAGACCGTACTTGTTTGTGGTGGTTACCGGGAAACTTCGTTTCTCCCCCCTCCCCCTCGACGACCATTTCGAAAGAAAAAGCGGACAAGGTTGAGCTGTGTCAATGGTGTCGGTACACTGTAGAGACAGCTATGATCAGGGATGATGATGGGGGTGGTGGTCAGGAGGTAAGCAAACCAGCCCTTTTGGCGTTTCGGCTGGGACCGTATGCTGAATGTTGGGGAGGGGATGGGGTCCCCAACGGTCGACGGTTTACTTCAACTCGGTTGGTACGATAGGAGAGTACTGACGCAAGTGGTGCAGCTGGT